TGGAACATTTAGAATGTTCCCTTACAAACAGAACTTATAAGGGTTAAGGTTGTTAAAGGCTTTCCCTCTCCTGTAGTGTGTTGTAGGTTTGTGTATGTAAATGGTCTGCAAAGGCTACAATCCCTATGTTCCCTCCAGAGGGAGTTTCTCTCCCCCTGCATGAAACTGCTCCATTAGACTCTTTAGTTAGCTGGGTAACATGGTGACATCACTATGAAACACTCACGCTCCTATTGGTTAGCGCTCCACCACATAGTACGTGCTTAGGGGTGGGACATCTCTAAGCGGCAAACCAATCACAACAGAGCCGGCCAGCTAACCAATCAGAGCAGACTGGGCTCTGGATTCAGACAGAGGGTGAAAAGAGGTGCTGCAGCACAGGCATTATGAGAACAATAAAGAGCTTTAGAACATTAAAGCATGGAGACATGTCCCAGTAGAGACACTACATACTGATATACACCTGAACATCAGCAGGAGAGGACTCTTTAAAGTAGAGACACTACATACTGATATACACCTGAACATCAGCAGGAGAGGACTCTTTAAAGTAGAGACACTACATACTGATATACACCTGAACATCAGCAGGAGAGGACTCTTTAAAGTAGAGACACTACATACTGATATACACCTGAACATCAGCAGGAGAGGACTCTTTAAAGTAGAGACACTACATACTGATATACACCTGAACATCAGCAAGAGAGGACTCTTTAAAGTAGAGACACTACATACTGATATACACCTGAACATCAGCAGGAGAGGACTCTTTAAAGTAGAGACACTACATACTGATATACACCTGAACATCAGCAGGAGAGGACTCTTTAAAGTAGAGACACTACATACTGACATACACCTGAACATCAGCAGGAGAGGACTCTTTAAAGTAGAGACACTACATACTGATATACACCTGAACATCAACAGGAGAGGACTCTTTAAGGTAGAGACACTACATACTGATATACACCTGAACATCAGCAGGAGAGGACTCTTTAAAGTAGAGACACTACATACTGATATACACCTGAACATCAGCAGGAGAGGACTCTTTAAAGTAGAGACACTACATACTGATATACACCTGAATATCAGCAGGAGAGGACTCTTTAAAGTAGAGACACTACATACTGATATACACCTGAACATCAGCAGGAGAGGACTCTTTAAAGTAGAGACACTACATACTGATATACACCTGAACATCAGCAGGAGAGGACTCTTTAAAGTAGAGACACTACATACTGATATACACCTGAACATCAGCAGGAGAGGACTCTTTAAAGTAGAGACACTACATACTGATATACACCTGAACATCAGCAGGAGAGGACTCTTTAAAGTAGAGACACTACATACTGATATACACCTGAACATCAGCAGGAGAGGACTCTTTAAAGTAGAGACACTACATACTGATATACACCTGAACATCAGCAGGAGAGGACTCTTTAAAGTAGAGACACTACATACTGATATACACCTGAACATCAGCAAGAGAGGACTCTTTAAAGTAGAGACACTACATACTGATATACACCTGAACATCAGCAGGAGAGGACTCTTTAAAGTAGAGACACTACATACTGATATACACCTGAACATCAGCAGGAGAGGACTCTTTAAAGTAGAGACACTATACTGATATACACCTGAACATCAGCAAGAGAGGACTCTTTAAAGTAGAGACACTACATACTGATATACACCTGAACATCAGCAGGAGAGGACTCTTTAAAGTAGAGACACTACATACTGATATACACCTGAACATCAGCAGGAGAGGACTCTTTAAAGTAGAGACACTACATACTGATATACACCTGAACATCAACAGGAGAGGACTCTTTAAGGTAGAGACACTACATACTGATATACACCTGAACATCAGCAGGAGAGGACTCTTTAAAGTAGAGACACTACATACTGATATACACCTGAACATCAGCAGGAGAGGACTCTTTAAAGTAGAGACACTACATACTGATATACACCTGAATATCAGCAGGAGAGGACTCTTTAAAGTAGAGACACTACATACTGATATACACCTGAACATCAGCAGGAGACGACTCTTTAAAGTAGAGACACTACATACTGATATACACCTGAACATCAGCAGGAGAGGACTCTTTAAAGTAGAGACACTACATACTGATATACACCTGAACATCAGCAGGAGAGGACTCTTTAAAGTAGAGACACTACATACTGATATACACCTGAACATCAGCAGGAGAGGACTCTTTAAAGTAGAGACACTACATACTGATATACACCTGAACATCAGCAGGAGAGGACTCTTTAAAGTAGAGACACTACATACTGATATGAAGCTGAACATCAGCATTTTATATCCTTTAAAATATTTTAGCATGAGGTATACATTGTATTACATTTTAAAGGTTTATAAATATTTGCACTAACACATTTGTAGCATTGGATTATGTACACAGCCTTTTTACTTTCTATATTTGATGGTATTAGTAAATCTTCTTCCCGCTACAACTTTTAGTAATACCTCCAAAGCGCCATCACAGCACTTCATCCATGCTTCGACAGCACTTCCTACAGATGTTAATAGGCTGCTGATTATGAGACATGGGTGATGCCTGGAGTGTGTCCACACACTTAGCTGTCACACAGGGGGACGTCTTTGCTTTCAGTTTTGTTAAGAGAGTTTGTCAGTCAGGATGGCATGTTTATGTTGGGGGTTAGGGTTTGATGTCCTCAAGACAGCGACATCCATGTCCGTGCCCTCTGTATGTTCTGCAGCTTCTGTCCGGTGCGCTGTCCGGTCACATGAGCTTTGTTGCAAGGCCACAATCAGAACAACAGTTAGCAACACTGTAGTCATTCAGGATCAACCTGAATAAGCTCTGTGCTTTAGTCTCTCAGTAGTTTAAATCACCTGTTAGGTTTAAACATTGTTAAACTTTATAGGAAATACTGTATTTGCTTAGTGAGTTAATATACTCATATAACTTGTTTCAGGACAGGTTAGGCTAGCCCATAGAGGGGTGCAGGAATGAGTCCTTAAAGCCTGGAAATAAGTAGACTTTTTTGAACCTGTTGGTTAGTGGACTGAAAAGAGGTCTGTGGTTAACACATGCTAAAGACCTAACTGTCACTGCAACATATTACTCTTTAATTAGAGGTGCGGTGATAACGTCAATATAGGACGAGTTGGGAGTGAGAACGTGTTGCTATGGGAACTCCCTGATAGTTCAAAAACAACGCTAAAGGGTCTCTCAGTGCGTTTGAAAGTAACGCCAAGGAATCCTTACATAACGTCAATATGACGAGTTGGGAGTGAGAACGTGTTGAAGTAAGCGTCGCCAGGGGTCCCTCGCCAAAAATCAATGGGATTTCTCCATTGGATAAAATATTGCAGAATATAAAATCTGTAGCTAACACATGTTTATGATACTTACATGTTTTGTTCAGCAGGATAATCTCCACACACTAACACCACTTTATGGTAGCTGAGTGTAAATAATAATGTCGAAATAAAAAATGGAACGTTAGGCTATACTCAAACTACATGGGTAATAATAACTGAAACTGGTACAAGGGTTTCAGGTGCGTCAACATTTAGACATGACAAACCACATATGGCAATGAAAACACTGATTTTCAGGTAGTGGAAAGGGCTTTGGCAAACATCGGCCCTGGGTTGAGACTTGTTTGAAGCCAATCTTCTAAGTTGTTAAACTAAAGTTGAGTTCAAAGCTTACTATAATACTCAAATGCTTCAAAAAGCTATTTTTGTTTCTCATACGTATATGTTACGTGCTGCAGCACCTCTTTTCACCCTCTGTCTGAAACCAGAGCCCAGTTTGCTCTTATTGGTTAGCTGGCTGGCTCTGTTGTGATTGGTCAACATTCAATAGATTTCCCTCCCATACATGATGATGTCTCTGTGTTACAGAAGTAAACAAAGGAGTCTAATGGAGGCATTTGTTATTATTATACTAATAACATGTATGTTGGTGTATGAAAGCCTGATATATGGTTTTACATAGAGCCAATGAAACTATCATTCAGGATTTCCGTTTTCAGGAACCAATAGTCAAAGTAGGAATTTCAGAAAATAAGAAAGGACGGACTAACATTGTTGGTTTTTGAATTTTAATTAGATTTATTAGAAAAAATAAGACAAAATACAGCTGTCCACCTCAATTCAGAAAATTAAAATCATTATTTCAGATTTCTCCATGTAAAGGTTGAACAACATAAAACCTGAACATTAGACATCACACTTACTATTTCATATAACTTTCATTGTATTACACATGCGTTCATATTTGTTTAAAAGTGGCATCATTTACATCACACTTGAAAATGGTAGCACCGGTGGCAGACATATGGCACCAATGCAGCGGTTGTCTGTGTTGATGTTACAAATTGAATTGAAGGAGGACACCATTTCCATACAGTTCAGGATGTTATGATAAGTGGGATTTCATGTTTTTTCTTAAGTTTCTAGATAAAGATGACTCTATATGTATGGCACTTGAAAACAAGAAACATTAAGAATCAAATACATCTTTTTTTTTTTTTACATCTTTTCTTTTAGTTCAGGCACCACATTCCTGCTGCTAAAGCAAAGGAGAGATCACTCAGGTTAAGGTCAATGGTCCGAGCACATACATCCAAACCGATGAGAGATGAAGCTATCAGATCCAAAGATTGATTCTACTGCCAGATTGTGTGTGTGTACTAAGAAAGTGATATGTGGAACTACTGGAATGTCATTCCAACTACATCTGAGCTGTTTATTTGATTTTGTTAGTGAAGAATATACTAATTCAAATGAGACACACATGATGTCCTTTTCAGTGTACTTTTGGTCTGAGATTCTCATAGTTTGTACAAAGTCCCTTACTTCCAATCCAGGATTAGGGTTAGGGTTAGTTCACCCAAACATTTTGCACAAGCAGTGGTTCACCAGTCTCAGGAGATTCTATTGAACCATTGCAAACAGCTGTATAATGACAGTGGCTTCAGAGGAGCTATGTCAAGTTTAAGACTCCAAATACAATTATTACTCATGTTAAGTTATCCTCACACATTTGGCCATACAGTGTATCAGTTTATGCTTTCAAGAAACACTTTGCACCACAATAAAATATATTTTTTTACTAGGGCCAAGTAAACAAATATGCGGTCCATCTGAAACTCTCCATAAAAGACTAATCAAATCAATACCTGCTAAATACAACATGATGTCACCTAGATTATTGGTCCACATACAAATTCCAGTTAGGAGGATTCAGTCAAAAGCTCTCTTCAGGAATATGTCTCTCTTCAGGAATATGTCTTTCACTGAAAATCCTCAGCTTTCACTTGTTTCATTTGAAGACTACATGCTAATATATGAATGATTATTCTTGGTGACTTGTTTCTACACAGCTGTCCTGCAGCCTCCTCATGTTCCTGTGGGCAGTTACACATACGCAGAGTCGCTGGACTGAGTGCGCCCCAAATTGGGCATACTCATCTTGGGCATGTCTTTGTTCCGGATCTCATAAACAGACTTCCTTCGGGCCTGCACCCCTCGCACAGCCGCTTTGATCTTCTTCCAGCCGAGGTGGTTGAGCTCTGCCAAGTTCAGAAGCACGCAAATACCACTGACTGCGAACATGAAGACCAGAAACACCGTCTTCTCCGTCGGCCTGGAAACGTAGCACTCTACATCTTTTATGCACGGGTACCGATCGCACTCGTACACCCCGGGGACATTGAATCCATACAGGAAGTACTGACCCACCAGAAACCCAATCTCTAGTCCGTTTCTGAACACCACCTGGATGATGTAGAACCTGGAGATGCCCTCCTGCCGTCGCAGTTTTGACTTTGTAGTTCGTTTTTGTGAGCTGCATGGATATTCTTTGCTCATCATGGAGTTGGACTCTACCTCCTTACTGCAGTTGTCTGAGTTCTGCAAAATACCGTTCACGATGGTGTTCTTCATCTTTTTGCTGTCATCTCTCTTCAAGTAATCCATTTCTCTGTCCAGGGAGAGGAACACGGTGGAGAAGCGCCGCTCCTTCTGCTTGGCCGACTGGTGCACAGAGTAGGTGATGAAGCAGAGGCTGGGGCAGCACACTATGATGATCTGGAATACCCAGTACCTGATGTGGGAGATGGGGAATGCCTGGTCGTAGCAGGCCTGGTTGCAGCCCGGCTGTAAGGTGTTGCACACGAACATGGACTGCTCGTCGTTGTACACGGTCTCTCCAACAATCGCTACGATCAGAATCCGGAAGATCACCACAACAGTCAGCAGGATCCTGCGGGGAAACCAGAAATATAATCACATTTACAATAGCTGGGTTATTTAAAAACACTCTTTTTGTGTGCAAGCCTCAAGACCAGATAATACAAACATATTGCTATACTGGACCCCTTTTGCATACATCCATGATCCTGGTCTTTTTGGGTTAATCACAACATAAACATTTGTCTGAGTGATACTAAATCAAACTTATCTTAAATATGGTGCATACCAACGGTCAGTGGGTCAATGGTTCGATCCCCAGCATCTGCAATCAACATGATATAGTGTCCTTGGGAAAGACACCTACCAAACCAAATGATCCCCTAGGCATGTCTATGGTGTTCAGGTGTATGTCACTCGCTTTGGATACAAGCTAAATTACATTTAATGAAATGTAAGTTAACAGTTTTTTTTTTTACAAGTAAGATAGCTACCTGGTAAGCTTCAATAGGGTCAAAGCCAAGAGGCAGTACACACCGCGGTTTGTCTGGGATTGGTACGTCCCAACCTCAGAATTAGGGTCTGTAATCTTTGATCTTTTTCCTGCAATAGTGGATAACTGTACTTATTTGGCACTCTAATTATCGACGCTCACTAGACGGTAAATCGGTATGTTACTGGTCGCAATTAGACAGCTTTGTTTCAAAGGGTAACAAGCTAGAAAGGTTAGAAACCACTGGACCAGACCATTTTACGTACCAACATGTCCGACAGGCATTCAAACCAATGTAGTGGGAAGACGTTAGGTTGATCACAGGACAGCTTTACTGGCAGGCTGACTGACCAATAGGAAGCAGATGATAGCATGAGGGCTAATATTTCAGGTAGAGCTCTATGTAGATATCTGGTGCTCGTATAATAACAATGCCCAGATGGAAATATAAAATGGTGGACCTTAAAGCTTTGAAGCACTTTGTTCATTGAACTCTTTCTAAATTCTAAACGTATCAGTTTTCACACATGTGCTATTTGGAAGGAAAAGGGTGATCATTTGGAGGCTCCTGGGTTTACTTGTGTTAGGAGCTGTGTCCCTGTGAGTGGACCCTCTTTTGACCTGTACTTAGTCTGTTTCGTGTTATCTTAATCAGGGATGTAGTCATCATGGTAAAATAAACCATGTTTTTGCCAACTTTTGCATGTTTTAGCTTTTTTTTCACTCCACATTTGCAATGTTATGTTTACCTTTCTGCGGAGCAGCATACAAAGCATGTTTTACATTCTACACGTTGTTCTACCCCCCAGGCAGCCTTGATCCCAATACATTGTACAGTGGTACTCTACCTAAACCAATCCATCTCCACTGTAACTGTATCACTCTGCAGTGGTTATCACTTACACAATACAAGTACGAATGGTATTTACTTTAAACCATTTCCTGAAGGTGGATTTAAACCTGTACCACAAATATGTATTATATCTAGTTCTAATCGTTAGTTATTGTTGCTTTTTTTTTAATAAATTTCATTTGTGAGAAACAAAATAAAATCCAGCAGGAAAAATGCAGTGCGGAAAAGTGTTCTTTATTCTTTTGTATATATTTTTCATATTATTAAATGTTTATATAATTATAATTATTATTATTATAACTATTACTATTATGTTTTGTTTATGTATTTGTATTCACTGTATTTCATTTTTTACTTTTATGTTTGATGTTTTTTGTACGTATCTTTCAATGTAGAAACAAATGCTTTTGTTGAACCTTGATGTCAGAATTGTTTTCACTAATCATTACATCATATTACTGTTATATTAAATATATATCCAACATAAGAATTGAATTTCATGTTACGTCAAAAAGACACAAAGCTTCGACTGAAACGTGTGCAAACCATTCTGCAGGTCACCCTTGAAAAAGAGATCTTTTGATCTCAAGGGGCTTTCACCTGGTTAAATAAAGGCTACAAACAATTCGCGCATGCTTAATTGTTTTTAATGAATAAACCTATAATCACTATTTACTATTAGCTGCCCTGTTTCAGGACAATCCCTTTAGTTTTAAATGCATCAGATTGGCAGTTTGCCCAGCCAAAGAGATATCATTGATCTCATTAAGGACTTAAAATATAATAATGCATCTTTGAAATGTGCCTTATTAGACAGAAGTGGATCCCCCCGGATGGACCTTCAGGTGGTGGCAGGGTGTATTAGGGTGGAGCTGATCATGGAGCTGTCCAGTTCTGAAATAACACGTTACATCACACTCCTCCTGTGGTGGTTTGACTTAACACAATTGAAGTTTAGATTAGTGCGTTCCTTTAATAATGTTTTTTAAAAGATTAAAACAGTACACATGTTAACGCTATCTGGTTTAACAGAGTCTCAGTGATGCTCTTCTTCTGATTCTCAAACTCTACACTCGGTTGGCACAGTTTTTCTTTTTGACCTTGATGTAAAACTTTTTCAAGAGAAGGAGGGCATCTTTCTTTCCTTTTTTCCTCCACCTCTTACCTTCCGATCATAGTAGAGTGTTGCTGGACAGCCGCCTCCAACAGCCGCTCTAATATGGTCCACTCCGCCATGGTTGCTCATTCGGAGAAGATAACACTCAGGAGAAAATTGTGCAGAAATAAAAACCCGAGGATTGGATTATTCCTCTGGGAGATCTCGGGAAATATCCAGTGAAAGCTTGGATGTGTGTTCCTCTCCTCTCCGGGTGGTGCTAAGCGCTCTGAGCCGCTGTGTTCTGCACGTAAGGCGGCTTCTGTGTGACTGCGCGCCGTGAGGAGCTCCGCGCGCGCTAATCCAGCTTTAAGTAGACTCCTTTGCGTCACACGAGCCCTGGCTGGTGGGAGCGCGTGGAAGCATATCCGTTTATCCACCTCTTCACGCGACCAGACGAGAGGAGTGTGCACACAAAGTGACAACAAGTTAGTTTAGCCTGTATTCGCACGACTGAGGTCAGAAAGAAAATGATATGTGCACTCATGACACATACATGATTGATTTGATTAATTATAAGGACTGCAGAAGTAGTAGGCTATACATTGTTGAAGCTGTGTTATTTGTAATGTTTCCCTTTTTTAACAATTTTAAATGAATGACACAATAATTGTATTAATAATACAAATGATTTAATTCCCATTTATTTCACCCTGAGAAAGATTACAATAAAAAATATTCTGTATTAATATTATTGTGTTGATGTTGTTTTTTTAGAGTTTAAAAGTCAATTGTTGCTGCGTGCATGTACCAAGGTACTTTTTAAAGTACCTTTGAGATAATTCTAATATATATACAATAAAACTATATATTTAAACTTTAGACTTTAACATACATTGACATTCTCTCGTAGTCACACAACGGAGACGTGAAGAGCTGTCTGCCCATAGCTGATCAAAGTTAAAGGGGCCCTATTATTCACTTCTTCAGGTGTATATCAGTATGTAATGTCTCTACTTTAAAGAGTCCTCTCCTGCTGATGTTCAGGTGTATATCAGTATGTAGTGTCTCTACTTTAAAGAGTCCTCTCCTGCTGATGTTCAGGTGTATATCAGTATGTAGTGTCTCTACTTTAAAGAGTCCTCTCCTGCTGATGTTCAGGTGTATATCAGTATGTAGTGTTTCTACTTTAAAGAGTCCTCTCCTGCTGATGTTCAGGTGTATATCAGTATGTAGTGTCTCTACTTTAAAGAGTCCTCTCCTGCTGATGTTCAGGTGTATATCAGTATGTAGTGTCTCTACTTTAAAGAGTCCTCTCCTGCTGATGTTCAGGTGTATATCAGGATGTAGTGTCTCTACTTTAAAGAGTCCTCTCCTGCTGATGTTCAGGTGTATATCAGTAAGTAGTGTCTCTACTTTAAAGAGTCCTCTCCTGCTGATGTTCAGGTGTATATCAGTATGTAGTGTCTCTACTTTAAACAGTCCTCTCCTGCTGATGTTCAGGTGTATATCAGTATGTAGTGTCTCTACTTTAAAGAGTCCTCTCCTGCTGATCTTCAGGTGTATATCAGTATGTAGTGTCTCTACTTTAAAGAGTCCTCTCCTGCTGATGTGCAGGTGTATATCAGTATGTAGTGTCTCTACTTTAAAGAGTCCTCTCCTGCTGATGTTCAGGTGTATATCAGTATGTAGTGTCTCTACTTTAAACAGTCCTCTCCTGCTGATGTTCTGGTGTATATCACTATGTAGTGTCTCTACTTTAAAAAGTCCTCTCCTGCTGATCTTCAGGTGTATATCAGTATGTAGTGTCTCTACTTTAAAGAGTCCTCTCCTGCTGATGTGCAGGTGTATATCAGTATGTAGTGTCTCTACTTTAAAGAGTCGTCTCCTGCTGATGTTCAGGTGTATATCAGTATGTAGTGTCTCTACTTTAAAGAGTCCTCTCCTGCTGATGTTCAGCTGTATATCAGTATGTAGTGTCTCTACTTTAAAGAGTCCTCTCCTGCTGATGTGCAGGTGTATATCAGTATGTAGTGTCTCTACTTTAAAGAGTCCTCTCCTGCTGATATTCAGGTGTATATCAGTATGTAGTGTCTCTACTTTAAAGAGTCCTCTCCTGCTGATGTGCAGGTGTATATCAGTATGTAGTGTCTCTACTTTAAAGAGTCCTCTCCTGCTGATGTCCAGGTGTATATCAGTATGTAGTGTCTCTACTTTAAAGAGTCCTCTCCTGCTGATGTTCAGCTGTATATCAGTATGTAGTGTCTCTACTTTAAAGAGTCCTCTCCTGCTGGTGTTCAGGTGTATATCAGTATGTAGTGTCTCTACTTTAAAGAGTCCTCTCCTGCTGATATTCAGGTGTATATCAGTATGTAGTGTCTCTACTTTAAAGAGTCCTCTCCTGCTGATGTTCAGGTGTATATCAGTATGTAGAGTCTCTACTTTAAAGAGTCCTCTCCTGCTGATGTTCAGGTGTATATCAGTATGTAGAGTCTCTACTTTAAAGAGTCCTCTCCTGCTGATGTGCAGATGTATATCAGTATGTAGTGTCTCTACTTTAAAGAGTCCTCTCCTGCTGATGTGCAGGTGTATATCAGTATGTAGTGTCTCTACATGTTTCCATGCTTTAATGTTCTAAAGCTCTTTATTTTTCTCATACTGCCTGTGCTGCAGCACCTCTTTTCACCCTCTGTCTGAAACCAGAGCCCAGTCTGCTCTCATTGGTTAGCTGGCCCGCTCTGTTGTGATAGGGCACACAAAACCTATACCTATAAACCTATATAGCTACACACTACAGGAGAGGGAAACCCCAAAGGAGCATACTAGGTTCTCTTAAAGACTGCCAGGTAAAGCAGATAGAAAGTCAGAGAGAGAGACGATGTGATGTCACGCTAAGATTGTTTTGACTCAAAGATTTGAAAATGACTTATCAAAGTCAACTTTAATCTCACAATATCTTCTTTAGATAAAGAAGCTTACTGCAGACCCTGTGCAGGATACATATGATTGACCTTTCTCCACACATTTAGTTTGTCAGACATCAGTTCAGTCTTTTCCATTTCATTGGTTCATGACAGAGGTTGTGATGAAACTGTACAAAAGGTGTTTGAAAATGACAACCTCCTGTAAGAAGCACTAAACATGACTGAACATATGCAGTGTGCAAAGACTATACTGAAGTTCAGCAAGCAACAAACTGTAAGACAAGTAAGGCAGGTCTGAATGCAAAGCACGGTTAATTGAATTAAAGGCTGCTTGATGGTGTCCAGACTCAGTGAGCTGAACCAGAGGGAGTGGCTCCATGTGTCCTCCCCGTGTTGCCACTGTGAAGTGCACAAAGTGTAAAACAGAACAACCTTGTTTAAAAAAGGTGATTTCAGTCCTAAATGATTAACAGGGTGATGTTGGGGACACAATGGAACTAAACCACATAGGTTATTGTCACACACACACACACACACACACACACACACACACACACACACACACACACACACACACACACACACACACACACACACACACACACACACACACACACACACACACACACACACACACACACACACACACACACACACACACACACACATGTTCTATTCATCATTTAATGATTTAAAGGACAATCATTGATCAAGTAAGGGGTGGGAATTAATAAGCATTTGCTTCCTCCTACTCCCTTTCGGACACATATGATTTTTTATTATTAATATGAATACTTTGTATGTATCATGAATGTGGATAAATACTGTATTTTAACAGTACGGTATTCTTTTTTTCACATTTGTTATTTTTTATTTGTTATTTTTTTAATCTGTTCGAAATAAAGATTGAAATGAAATGAAAACACTGAGGATAGATATTAAGGTACACTTGTTGGCTTAATCGACCAGGTGTACACAACATTGATGTATACTGACAATGTTCAAAATATCAAACTGTTTGTTCCTGCAGAATGTATTTCAATTTGAAAATGACAACAATATTCAGCCTACATGCACTTCTGCTTTACCCTACTCCGATACAAACACACTTACATGCACGCACGCACGCACGCACACACACACAGATTTGCAGCTCGATCAAATATGAGTTTTGATTCACAAAGTGGACATTGTTCCTAAGGAAATACTTCATCATCCCGCTTGGTTAGTGACGAAGAACAGTCTAAAGTCTCTTTTATGAGCTGTCAATCATCTCTATGAACATCTGTTATGCTCTCACATTCAAATATAGACCTACAGTATCATGTGACCCTACCCCAGTTACCTCTGCATGTTCTTAAGTTTGAGACTGGAAGCTGCTATGTTAACTTTTTCATATAGTGCACAAGGAGCTCTCAATTTGTAAAAACAGTCCACTGAAAAACGATGCACAGATAATTCACCCTGTTCAAGATATTCATTTGAGGGCGGGTTTTTCCAATCGATCACAGCTGCAGGATCTGGAGCAGGAAGTACTTCTTTGGCATTTCCTCCCCTGCTCCACATCTCCAGCCCCACCACAGGGTTTCATCCGATGAAAGAAAGAGGTGCCCAGGGCAGGAGAGGTGCCCCAGGATTAGGACCTGTGTCTACATGTACTTAAGCAATGTCACAGATTAAATGACCCAGTAATCATCCGCTGACCTATAAAATCTGCAGTTGTGATGGGTCGGCTGTATAAAGGTTTCCTCAGTCAGTCAGGGAACACTCCCTCAATGAAGCAGGAATGTCAAGGGCAATCAGAGAATACATGATCAGTGATGATATTTGTGAGACAGCTAGACAGAGAAACAGACAGACAGAAGAGACGGGACAGACAGCAACACATTCATTTGTATTTTAGTTTGTGTTTTATTTGAGTTTGATGCATACAAATACTGTACTGTATATGATGATTGTTAAAAATGCACTTTTACCATAAAAGGCCAGCTCGACCATTTGGTTGAGGCTCATAAAAACAAAACTGTGTGGTCAGTCAAAACAAATATTATTTGTGGCCCATTTGATAAAAAAATGCAAACAAATACTTTTTCCTTAGCTTTTTTCTTGGTCTGGTAGTTAAAGGGCTATTGTTTTATATGTTCTCTTGTTTTTATGTGTATTGCATTTGATATTTAGGTAATCCGAAAGTAACGGAAAATAATCAGGTTACATTC